CCAATTTTAATTAATACTGATCAAAAATTCTTTTAAAAAGTTGGAAATACATGGATTTAACGCCTTTCGTTCTATTTTATATGTACTATCACAGTTTTATTAATAAAACTATGTATATATGAAAAGTATTATTCTGTAGATTGTAGTTATAAGACTATAGCGCATTGCCAATCAGTTTTATAAAAAGCAAACAAAATTTTGATCATAAGCCTGTTTAATAGCTATATCAAATGGGAGATTCATTCATAACGCAGACCGAGGAGTCCAGTGTCTATGGCGCGGCGTCTGTTAAAAAGTCACTGGGTATATCGAGAGGGCCCTATATACGCATGTAAGCATCACAAGGCCCCCCACGGTGGGATAAAGGCAGGCTCCACGACAGTAGCCATGTACACCATGGGTTAAACAATGCCGCTCGCATTAATACACTTCATATTAGTCCCTTTTAATGCGTGTTTGCCGGCCATTGTGAATGAGCGACACTGTTTATCACCGACCCCCGTACGGCCCCCTACCCCCTGGGTCGGGGTGGGCGCATTTGTCTCGGGCCTGCTGGTGATCGAGGATAATAAATCCGTATATGCTTTATCTGGTTTTTCATTTCCTTCGTTTGCCCGTATCTGGTTCAGTCGAACCTCTTTGAGCATGATAGTAGTGCAACTCGATTAATCCTTTTGAAATACAAATATAAGTATCCAGCTCAAGACTCAGAGGTTCGTTTATAAAAAAAAATAGTTTGGTTTCCAGAGATTAGTCAATATTCGATAATGATCTAAGAGAACATAATACTAGCTTGAGAATAAATTGCTAACAATAGAGGTGAACGTTAGCAGCGAGTACAGAAGGCGTATGTATGGGTAACACAGAAGTAAGAGTCAAAAGTGGAGACAGTAACAGTCAAAATAAGAGTATACCTAAACCTCAGCCGGATAAACGTAATTTATTGACCGATGCTGTTTGAAGATCAAGCCTGACTGTAGCTCGTACGTAGCAACATTATTTCTGGCATCGACTCTTGAGTACACTCGCTTCGCTCGATGTATGACCCAAGCACGATAACGTCATCCCTTGTGACTCACGAAACCTAAAATATACGCGCGGACACCATAATCGTTTCGTTTACAGTAATTTTGGCATCGTCCCGCGAATCGAATGAGAAAATGAGAAATATGCAAGCGGACAAACGCGGCATGCAACAAAGTGTTTGTTGTGAATAAACTGATTTATAAGAACGTTTAAATGAGACTCCGAGACACACCAGTATTTCAAAGTGTTACTCTCCACGTGATGTTTCCACTAAATAATTTCTTGCTTGAACGATACTTCAAGTTATAGTCGTATATCATAAGAGATAATTGTATGCTCTCCATTACGAATTCAGACATTCGATTCTCCTCTCGTGCAAAATAATTGAGTAGTGAGTTACTTGCTAGTTCCAAAAAAACTTTAGTATTCTCGAAAAGATTTGCAAGGCAAAGGGAAGGCCGACTGCGTTGCGAAGTAGGCGAGAGGGAAGCACGAGGAACGGGATATAAACTGTTCTGTTTGACGACGTTGCAAGAATATTAATGCAATCGTGTTCGACTCCGCGAAACAAACTGCGTCGCACCAAAAACTGTCAGCGAGCCAATCCGTTACAGCCCGGGTCGTCTGAATATTTCGTAATCCTGTGTAACGTAGGCAACGACATTCGTCGGCAACGAATATTCACGACTACGTTCGCCCGACAAGCTTGATCCTATTCTGATGCTTGATAAATCTTGACGTATACTGTTAGTGAATGCCAGTACGGCTCGTACAATCCTTTCCCCGTGGCAATCAAATGTGTCGAAATAGTAACTGTTTCTCCTCGATTGGTCCGAGGAAAACTAACGCTGAATTGTCGCGAAATAGAAATCTAACAATATGAAATGTTTAATTTCCGTAATCAAAGCCAGAAGATACACATTCCATTTACATTTAGATACACATACATTTTCCATATAATATACATTTATAGATCGGTAATGTTCACCAATTATTTATAAATATTTGTAAATATTCTGATTTCAAGAGAAGATCATTGAATTAATTAATAATTTAATTTGTTCATGGACTTTAGCTGTTCGTCTAACAGCAAATTTCAGGTCATTTATTATTTAGTTTATTAGGATTATTTATAACATTATAATTTTTATAATTTTTATTCTTTAGTATAAGAGTACTTAACTGATAAAATCGTTATACTTATATTCTTGAGAAAGTAGAATATGATACTTGTGCATTCGGTTACTTCTTATTTCATAGCAGTGAAAACTCATTTCGTTTCACGCGCCGCGAATGATTCATACGACAGGGAAACGATGTATGTACAATGATTAT